TTGACTACCGGCCAGGAATTGCTCGGAGTAGGTTTTTGCTTATGCATTTCGTCATTGGAAGACGTAATGGATTCATCTTAGGTTGATTTATGTTAAATGCAGAGACGATCAAGTTGATGACGATATCATGAAAGTGACATTACGTTGTATTATAGACATGTTATAATTGCAGTTGAAATGTCGAGCACTATGCTCACGAGGAGTCGATTTTTTCAATGGCGAGGGAGGGCGAGTGGTCACAGATTTTGTCCTCTTTTCCGAACAGCGTATATTCGATGATAGGATGCTGCATCATGGTCCGTGGTTTTTCGAGCATTTCCCTATTTGCGCACGGCAGATGAGGCCGAAACATGCTATAGAATAAAGCTGGCAGCGATTTTGCTGTGGAATTTCGTCGTGGAGGAATAATAAAAACGCCCTCACCTGAAATATGTTCCGCATAGTGTATTAACTGATAAGTTTGACCATAAGATGGATGGGTTGTCCGATGGCCATGGGCTCTTGGAAGAGTTTTAGTATTTAACAGGAATCTATATGGCGTGTCATTAACGATATCATATGTTGGCCGGATGTCTGTTCACAGACTGTACCAGTTTGTTAGTATGCCCATCCTGGAGGGATCTCCACAAGAACATCAGCAACAGACGGATGAGGTAAGTGAAAAAGCATCCCAGCTTCTCGGAGAGGTATGGTAGTAAAGACCTGCTCTTCATCTTCATAGGGACTGGACTGGCTAGTATTTCTTGTGTTGCTCGTTACTGTCGTATACTTTGAACAATGTCGAGCATATTATTCCGTTAATATTACAGCATCTGTACAAACGGTGGTTAACGATGATTCCTCACTTCTACTCTGACTTCTTCCATGATCATCGTTTAAAATGCTTCCGTTCATACACTGTCCCTATGATATCGATCACCTGGGCGCGCGCTTCTCCCATTTCTGATTTAATCTACCCTTTTCAGAGCAGCCCTACGTTATGTAGACTACCGAGTCGAGGAGGGCAGTCTCAAGTTGCTAGTGGTCAAAGTGAGTCATTTTGTGGGGGATATCTGGGAGGTAGTGGCATAGCTGCCCCACAGTAGGGAATATCTAGGAGTGGCATAGCTGCCCCACAGTAGGGACTATCTAGGAGTGGCATAGCTGCCCCACAGTAGGGAATATCTAGGAGTGGCATAGCTGCCCCACAGTAGGGAATATCTAGGAGTGGCATAGCTGCCCCACAGTAGGGACTATCTAGGAGTGGCATAGCTGCCCCACAGTAGGGAATATCTAGGAGTGGCATAGCTGCCCCACAGTAGGGACTATCTAGGAGTGGCATAGCTGCCCCACAGTAGGGAATATCTAGGAGTGGCATAGCTGCCCCACAGTAGGGACTATCTAGGAGTGGCATAGCTGCCCCACAGTAGGGAATATCTAGGAGTGGCATAGCTGCCCCTCAGTAGGGAATATCTTGGAGTAGCATAGCTGCCCCACAGTAGGGAATATCTAGGAGTGGCATAGCTGCCCCACAGTAGGGACTATCTAGGAGTGGCATAGCTGCCCCACAGTAGGGAATATCTAGGAGTGGCATAGCTGCCCCACAGTAGGGACTATCTAGGAGTGGCATAGCTGCCCCACAGTAGGGAATATCTAGGAGTGGCATAGCTGCCCCTCAGTAGGGAATATCTTGGAGTGGCATAGCTGCCCCACAGTAGGGGATATCTAGTAGTGGCATAGCTGCCCCACAGTAGGAAATATCTAGGAGTGGCATAGCTGCCCACAGTAGGGAATATCTTGTAGTGGCATAGCTGCCCCACAGTAGGGACTATCTTCGAGTGGCATAGCTGCCCCGCAGTAGGGAATATTTAGGAGTGGCATAGCTGCCCCACAGTAGGGACTATCTAGGAGTGGCATAGCTGCCCCACAGTAGGGAATATCTAGGAGTGGCATAGCTGCCCCACAGTAGGGATTATCTATGAGTGGCATAGCTGCCACACAGTAGGGAATATCTACGAGTGGCATAGCTGCCCCATAGTAGGGAATATCTAGGAGTGGCATAGCTGCCCCACAGTAGGGAATATCTAGGAGTGGCATAGCTGCCCCACAGTAGGGAATATCCACGAGTGGCATAGCTGCCCCATAGTAGGGAATATCCACGAGTGGCATAGCTGCCCCATCGTAGGGAATATCTAGGAGTGGCATAGTTGTACTCGGGTTGTGATATTCTGTATTTCACCACCGCTCGGAATTGTTGGATAGACTGCGGGTCTTAAAGCATCCCACGCAGTGTAGGTGGAGAATCATAATAATAATATGCGCATGCTTAGCTACTGGTGAGTCACCAACACCAGTAGCTAAGCATGCGTCACCAATGGTGACACTTCAATCATTATGGAGATTTATCGTTGGTTTTTGTGCACTTATATCCTAAGGCATGTTTAAACTTGTATATTTAGTGAGGAAACTCCTGAGCTTAGCTGAGAGAACCGAACATATATTTTTCCAACACTGAACGTTTGTATCTGAGTAAAGGTGGTGTATCGAATAGATGAATTCTCTACTTGTGTGGTGTAGCATCATTAATGAATAATACTATACTTGCTGGTTGATATTTATATCACTGTACCTCGATGCGTGTTGTGAAGTAGGATTTATGGTATTGATTTCAGGTACTGGCAGTGTGACTTCGCGCCATACGGGGCGATTCACGATCGAAGACGCTGAAGATTTGTCATTTAGCGCATTACCAGGAGGTGAGTTTATCTCATATTTGTAAATGGGAATTGGACACTTGAAGTCCTTGATACACCTCGTATGTCGGAGAAGAGTCCGCTGCGTAAATTAGCAACGTGTGTGCGTGCTGGGAAACCCATGTCAGCATGCTGTTGGTCGCAGAGAGCTGGGCGTAGGAGTCTCCCTATATGGCTGATCGATTCGCGATACGAGCTCTTCTCCCAATGTTACACAATGTTTCGGACGGGTGCTTAAGACGTTTTACCACGGGTATAAACGTTGAGAAATACAATAGTTGTGGATTCATTTTTGTGGGGATGGAGAAAGCTTGTTTGTAATGCGTGACATCGTCTTACGGTTTTTCACGGAAATCGAGTCGCATATTTTTCTCAATTCTAACAGCCCCATTTGAACGCTCTTCTCAAGAAACTAGTAAAAGTTCAGCAATCTACCTCACGTCTTGCGCTCGTGGACGACCGCACTCGGACGTATTGCTTGTGGAGATATTTCATCGCTATTTAAACGGCCATTACTAGTAAAGTATGTGCTAATGAAAACGACGACGCCATCTTATATTTCCTTCTCTGTATATCCCTTTTTTAGTGGATCGCATAATACAGTTGTAGGTTCTTAGTATCATAACACATTATATGATACGCGAGTGTAATTTCATTACTCGCAGGTAGTGTCTCTATTCGTCGGAAAGAAACTATGGACGAATTGGACATCGATCCCGTACCAGAGTTTGCCTGCCCCTGGCAGTCGAGCTCTTCCTGTTGTGATATGCCAACAACCTCGGAGAATGTTCTACGGGATGCTTCCCCAAAGAAGATCGACGAGAGTCGTTCGGCAAATGGCGATTTCGACAGAGCCCAGCTGACTGTGAAGGTGGGCACTGTGCGTAGAGAGAAGGTGCTTGTTCGCGGCGTTTTTGGTCTTCGGTCGCGTTTGTATCGGTCAAAAGTGATGGGCGATCAAGTATTGGGAGACCGATGAGATTTTGCTGGAGTGTGAATTGAGCAGATGACGATTCTTATCAGTACAGTTTGAGGTGGAATTTCCCTTGTAGGAAGGAATCATTTCATTCTAGCGATATGATGAATCACATTCGGAGGGTGAGAATCGGCTTTTTCTTTTACAGCGTGGATGAAGAGGAAAACTCTATTTTGAATACAATCAGGTCAGTGGCCAGGTGTGACGATCAGGTGCCGAGACGGATAGGAAGGTTCGACGTCGTCGAGGCTACTCCCCGAGCTGGACCTGCTCGCATGAGTTCGGTAGGTTCCTGAGGGGATTAGATTTCATACCATCTTCTTGTGTGAACCTTTTTTGTGATAAACTTCATTTTTTTCTCGATAAGAGAGATAGTGTCGAAACATGATGATACTAAAAGGGTTTGCATTTAATGGTTGATTAACCTTTCGTAATCTCTCAAATTCCCGATGCATTCAACCGCGGGTGGCGGATATCGATTTTTTCCTCTTTTTCTTTACTAATGTGCAGCTGAATCAGAGATTAATATAAATACATCGTTTACTACTACAACAACATACTCGTGAATTCGTAAGAAGGCTATGGGGCTTGAGAGCGACTCGGTCGGGAGTAATATGTGTGAAATAACTTCACTTTGAGAACTCCACAGTTCCGAGACAAGTTGTATTCACGACTAGTTTCTAGAGTTCTATTTATGGAATCGAAAATCAGGAAAGTTCACGACCTGCTGACATTCGTTTTTACATTGTGGAATTCTGTATTGGATATTCCGTCAATTCGTGCGAGACGAGTAAGGTGGGAAAATATGCACATGATCGACTACGTATGTTGCGACCTTATGAGAATTTTGGAAAATTGTATCTGCACACTCCCACATGAGTAATACTCATTGAGTATGTATGTAAACTCCTATAATTAGTAAGGAAACTCCTGAGCCCAGTTGATGCAAGTGAACATATACTTTAACCTTAGTTCTGAGACTGACTCTATAATAGTGAGAGAACTCCTGAGCTCAGCTGGGAAACAAAACACATATCTCACTGACACTGGGCGAGTATTCCTATTGTATCATTTGTATAGTGTGCGGAAGGTCGTCTAAATTGGAATGCGCTGGTTTTTAGGGCTCAGCTCGGAACTGTCCGTCGTTAGCGCCTCTTAATACGTTGCAGATCTTGCAGGTGGGTTCATTGCTCTCACGGTTTGGAAATGATTCTACAGTGCTCTCTGAACGATTATGAAATGATATAGGTTGAAATAATGGTTCGAGTCGGATCTGATCGGCCTCGTTGTTATTATAGCACAGAAGGATTTGGTCTATAGAGGGAGTACAATCGCTCAAGAGAAAATGCTCGGCTAGTCGTAATGGGTTTCCTCGTAGTGAACAAAGAGAGTGATCGCTCACCGCTCACTCTATCCTGTGGTGGATGCTGGATCTGGGATGGACCATGCTCTCCGCTGAGCTGGTCCAACTCGCTTCCCAACACCCACCACTGTTGAGCAACTGAGCATGATCTGACTTTGATCGTAGTGTTGTTTTGATTCACCTTTATTGTCTCGAAGTTCACACTCTTGAATAGAGTCTATTCTGGAATTGGCCTTTGCCCGGCATGTATGGGGCTCCACACATTGAAGCGACCAGTGAGGAGTCGTGAGTCGCGCCACTGTGGCGCCGCCACAGCTCCCTATTCATTAGTATCATCCTTTGACTACCTGTCTGTGGTATTGTGTCGCGGGACAGTCTCCGTGCACGGAGTTGTTGATATTTTAGACGCTGGAGGAGTTGAACCAGCAGGTTCGGACTTTATGTGATCGTAACACTGCTTTAGAGGAGGAGAATGCACTGTAACGGAATCGTCTGATGAGGTTCAATTGACTATCAGCTTCAGATTGCGGAGCCGTTGTGCGAAGTTTATCGAACAGTTGCACGAGTTGGGAGCGTCTTCAGTGGATTTACAATCACCTGAAGTGAGTGGCATTTTACTTTTTGGCCAATTTTGGGAATTTGTGGGAGTTATGGTAAAATATGTGACGATTCTCAACGCCCAGTGGGAGTTGTTATCTCTGTGAGGATTCTGTGACCCCACAGCCTCTTGCAGTATTGGGGCTCCACAATGAGTTGCATTTCAGTGTCGAGTCGCCATCACGCGCAGTGACACGCCTACTGAGACTTCATATTCTTACAAGTGGTGATGACCTAATGTTCAATGGCAGTTTTCCAGCAGGTGAGCGAATCGATAACACTGGAAGGATTTGCTTTTGACTATCACGTATGCAATCTGGTATGTTGAGTTCTAGCGAGCGCCACTTATCACTTCTCAACCATCAACATCTTCCTATTCCAGATCCGAGAGGAGCAATTCAGCCTTTCGAGTGACCTGCACACTCAGCATTTCAATTGTCTGAATATCCGATTAGATGACAGATGCTATTCTATTTAATTTGGCATAATTGTTTTTTGAACGAATTGACTTGCGTTTTCGATAAGTAACAAATATAGATGAACGAACACAGCATACCTCGCGAATTCGCTTTCTTGTGGATCATGTCGGGTAGTGC